GTGGCGCCCATTTTGGGGATTGGGGCCGGCACGTGCATGTAGATTAAGTTCCCGAAATTTCAGCCCTGCAGTTTTTATAGGTCTTGAAATGAAAGTGCGTAACAGACGCACAGACACACAGATACACGGACACGCAGACAACCCCTCGTCAATATGCGTTTTTGCATTGCATAGCTGCAAACAACGCATAAAAAGTCTTATTTGCACTGTGTGATATTTCAGTGTGCTAACTAGCAGACTAGAGGTTTTTGTGCTCCACATCTAAAAAGTAGTTTTTTATGATAGTATACTTCAGAGCATCTAGCTGCTGCAGTTACAAGGAGCTTCATTTACTGCTAACTTTCTGCGAATAATAGCGCCATATATATTAGCAATGATACTTACCATTGATCACATAGTGCAACGACACACTCATCGCCCGAACGCGAGATAACTTTCTTCTCCGGTTCCACATACAACAGAGCCTGCCCGCATTCAATTAAATCGACCTGTATTTTTTTCTTCACAACAGCAGTTTTTTGACCCACGTATTTGCCAACCAGCATCACCTACAATCATCTGTAGAAGCTGAGCTGAACTGAGCTAGAAAGGCACGTCTGCAACTACTACAACACTTACGCCATCATAGAATCCTTTCAGGTAAACTTCTTTCTTTGCTTCCGCCAACTTTTCACGCTCATTCTGGCTCTCAATTTTCAATTTTTGGCATAAATGAACAGCTGCTAAGTCGCCATACACCGGAATGTTCATTACGACGACCTGCAAAACTGAACAGCCTCACAAAAAGCCGGTAGTAATAGTCCTGAGTAAGAATTAATCACTGGCGACGTGCACCAGGCAGGCCCGTGCGCTCATGCGTTTTTAAAATATTTCGTGCTGTGTTGAAATCGCTCGGAATCCCACTAGCCAGAATGTGTGAAATACTGATGCTCGAAGCTGGGTAAGTTAATTATTACGCGGTACTTCGACAGGAACATCCCATTAAAATCTCAGCTTTCCAGCTTTGCTAATTCCCGAATTAGTCACTGTCCCGCCAAAAATTTCCATGAGGCCGTACGTGGGAACCGCACACAGAGAAAGGCTAAATTCAGTAACTTTAAGTTGTGAATGAGTTGGGAATATTTCCTGAAAACTTCAGCCTCCCAGCTTTCCCGGTTTTTGAACTAGACATTTTCCCGCCAAAAATTTTCGTGGGACCGTACGTGAAAGCCACACATGTCTGAGGCCTGAATTTGATAAATTTCAGCTGTACATAAACTGGGGATACCCCCTTAAAATTTCAGATTTCTAGCTTTTCTGGATCCCAAGTCCCGCCAGGACCCTTCATGGGGCCGTACGTGAGAACCACATATGCCTGGAGGCTGAATTTGAAGTTTTTGTGTTCTATGTGGGCACGGAACACAACCGAAAAGTTTCAGCTTTTTAGCTTTTCTGGCTCCCGAGTTAATGATTTTCCCGCCAAAACTTTAAGGCACTCATGCGTGGGACCTAGAAGTGCGTGAGAATCGCTACCGCGGTCCCGGAGTGGCACTTGGTCGGGGAACCCACTGACAAAATTCTGGCACCGGAGCTTGCTTGAAATACACAGAGACGCGCGCAAACACACACCCATATATATGTATATACATATATATATATGTACATATATACATATATACATATATATACACGCACATACAAACATACACATATACATACATACACGCATACTGGGGTCGTCACAATATGCGTTTTTGCATTTGCACATAGGCAAAAACGCATAAAAAGGTGGGCTATATAACTTACAGGTTCGTATGGCAGCACCATTTCATCTTTTATGCCAAACTTGTCACGCAAAGCTTTCTTTTTCTTCAAGTCCATTAGTGCTGCATAATCGTCCGGCGAATCGGATGGAACGCTTGTTACAATGCCTGTGCCTAAATACCACCTTTAAATGTGTAGGGACAAACGCTGCCCGTAATCTGTTTCCTTTTTTCAAGTACTAAAGAAACATCAGGGGTTAAACTCGATGCTTTTCACCGAGCGAATATCAGTTGATCAACCCGTATAACCAAGCAATACTGAGTGAATCATCCAAAAGAGCATTCGTTGCTGGCTAAAATCATCTCTAAAACGGCAAAAACCGCACATCTGCAGTCCGATCAATTACCTAAAATGAAATGAATCATCTGGGCCGAGCAGCTTCTTGAATTCGACGAATTCGACACACTCACCGTAATTTTTCTGTAGCACACAATGAATCAAAAGAACGCCTCGTTCTGGTCCAGAAAAGGCAACATTCGGAATGAAAAGGGGATGCCCTAAGTATACCAAGAACACGTGGAAAAGGCTAGGCTTGCCGAGCAAATTTTAGGACGATAATTAATTTAAGAAAAGATATGAATGTTAAGATCATCAAGCGAGGCAGAAGTTGGCGAAACAACTTGAAAAAGCTACAGCTGCATAGTTGGAGGATCAGATTATAAATTAACAGCTGTTCTAAATATCCCAAGTATGCACTGAAAAAAAAAAAAAAAAACTAACGAACCTTTGTCATCTTTGATGGTTAGCATTGGCAGCGCATAGATGCGTTCATATTTTGTCAGCGGACCTTCGAGCGCTAAGCCAAGCAAATCTTTACCCAGAATCTGCAACAGTAAAAAATAATTGGCCAACGCACGGGCTGTCTGTGCAAAGATGCGTTTTTTGCAGAGTTCCCCGCAGTTTTTGTCGCTACCGGCATCGGTTTTTTCGGCGGATGCTTCTGGCTGAAAGAATTTCAAACTGGCCGCCAGAACTGTCTGGAAACATACCCTCAAAATTTCAGTCTTCTAGCTTCTCACGTTGTCGAGTAAGTAACTTACCCGGAAGGGAATTTTCACGGGCCTGTACGTAGGTACCACGCCTACCCGCGGGCAGGGTTTGAACTCGTTAATACCCACTTAGACAGGGAACACCCCCCAAAGACTTCAGCTCTCTAGCTTCTCAGAACCCCGAGTTATGAATTTACGCGCGAAAAATTTTGGGGGCCTCATACGCGGGTACCACGCTTACCCGGGTGCTGGATTTGAGCTCATTAGCGCCTGCTTGGACGTGGAACATTCCTCTAAAATTTCAGCTTTCTAGCTTTTTTGTTTCGCGATTTAGCAGCTTACCCGTAAAAAACTTTGGCGGGGTCCCACATGGGTACCACGCGGGAAAGACCCCCCATTTTGGGAATAGGGGTCCGTACGTGCATGTAGATTAAGTCCCCAAAGTTTCAGCCTCGTAGCTTTTGCCGGTCTCAAGATGA